TCATCCATGATTACGTAAAATAGGTCTCTTGTTTTTATAACCTTTTCAATTTATTCATTGATTCAGTTTTAAACTTTAAATGTTTAATTTTTAATTTTTAGCCAATTTCAGTCCTATTTCCTCAATTTTTTTTATAGTTTCAACCTGATTGCATTAAATTGGCCATTTAATTCTATTGTCTTTTTCAATTTAGTCTTTACTTTTTAATTTTTAATTATTTAGACAATTTCAATCTTATTTTTAATTCTTGTATCCCTGATTGCTTTTTTTTTTCACCATAAACTTTTAAGATTTTTTTATTAAAGTTTTGTTTTTCAATTTTTATTTTTTGAAGAGCAGTCAAGTTTGGGTTATGTCAAGGGTTGTAGGGTTTTGCTGATCATATAGATAAAGACCTTAAAGATGTTATTATGGGATGAATGCATTTTGTTCAAGTGTTGATATTCTTAGCTTCAATGAATATTTGAACATAATGAAATTTTTTGTTTGGGTTGCTAAATGCAATAGACTTAAGAAAACATATGACTATCTCAAACGGGAGGATGATTAAATTGGTCTCATACAAGTTAAAAGTGGAGTTTCTTACCAGAAAAAGTGAAAAATATATATATAAAAGAGTAAGAAACTTATGAGATCATAGATAGGGATGAAACATGTACCATAAGATAAATTCCTTTTTTATATTTAAACATTATTTGTTTTAGTGACATTAAGTCTATATATAAGGAAATAAATCTATCCATGAATATACTGCTAAATTTTATATGTTGGTCAAATATAATTACTTGTAAAAGACAAATGGTTAATAGGTTTTGAGATTCTTAAAAGAGTTTAGATCAACAATTCCAGATAAGATTAGAATGTAAATGCTATTTTTACTTGTATAAATGAGAAATATGGCATTGAAGGTAAAAATGCTACTCAAATAAAAGGCTAACAATAACAATATATTTGATTCCTAAAAGAGATTGTATAATGAGTTGAGTACATTAAGTGTTGCTAATAAAAAAAAAGCATTATGGACGTTGCAACCTTCTACCAAACAAGATGTTGGCACGCGTAATATAACCTTAGAAAAATAAGCTAAAACAAGTTAACTAAGTAATCTTTATTCCAAATCAATAGTGGTTATATTTTATAAATATAAAAGAAGAGGTATTGTTTTTGTTTTAATGATCATACTTATAAAACCTAGACTTAAATAGGGTTGAAGAAAAATTAGAAAGAGGAAAGAACTTGGTTGACTTAGTTAAAAACCCAAGGTGACCTGGTGACCCGATCAAAATTTACACTTAAACCTTTCAAACCTTTTTTAGTTATAACGATGTTGTTTTGATATTTTTTAAAAACAAAAATAAAGGTTAAGTCAGGTTGACTCCCTTGACCCCTAATTTGCATTTTACCTCAAGTTGACCCTCTAGGTCAATTTTTATAATTATGCTAGTGATTATAGAAAAAAAAATTGTCAATGTATTTGAAATGTAATGAGTATAAGCATGCTAAACATGAGGATAAATTATGCGAACATAACATAGATAAGAAAAAAGATCATAATAATAAAATTCATATTTATATGGTTAGGAAGTTAACGTTAACATTGGAAGTTACTAGGGCTTGGTAGCAATATAAGTTATTTTATACCTGATGTATAAGAAATAATAACATGTTTATTCTGATTATTGATTGTAGTAGCTATGAAAATATCATAGACACACATACTATTAAAAAAAATTAGAATTACCTTTCAAACAACATTTTGAAAGTTATAAAACCGTAACAAATAATAAAATGGTTTTTTCCATTATAAAGTATAGAAATGAAATATATTGTGATGTGAACTTGTAATCTTATATTTAGTAGGTCTTGATAGTATGTTTTTAATGCTAGACACTTGGATAAAAAGAATTTATATAAATTTAGTAAAAATGGTGTAAATTCTGATGTTGTGCTCAATCTAAAGCTTGTAAGGTAAAAGGAAAGATTTTACTTACTATAACTAGTTTAGAGTACAAGATACAAATAAATTAGATAGGCTCACATGTTACTTTTAAAGGAATTGCTAGTTGAGAAAGAAAAATAGTATATAAGAAATATCTCTTAGGTATTTAAATATTTTCTTGCTAAATTTGAGGAGATTCTGCAAGATGAGTTATTGATTGGTTATTGTTGATAAAATGTATTTAATATTAGATATATTTGAAGTTGGGAGCTTGCCTTTTAATTAGAGGGTGTTTGACATTAAAGTTGAATCTAATTTTTGTCAAAGTTTAAAATTTATTTTTCTTTAAATTAATTTTTTAATAGTTTTGAATTATTTTAATATGCTGATGTAAAAAATAATTTTAAAAAATATTTTTTTAATGTATTTTCAAGCAAAAAACATTTGAAAAATAATTTTTATTATAATCTTAAACATTCCCTAAGTATCCTATATTATAAAATGAGTTAGGGTGAGATATTGAGAAAAGGGACAAATTCATGAGAGCTTAAGTTCATATGTTGTGCTAGCTTTTAATTTGGTCTCTCTTAATTTTTGTTTTCTCGCTCTACTCTTGATTATGATGGTATGTGGAAGTATGATAGTAATTATTTTTTAAAATATTTTTAGCTTGAAAATATATTAAAAATTAAAATATATATGTTGTTTTTATACATCAAACTAAAATATATATGTTGTTTTTATACATCAAAAATCAATTGTAATGTTTAGGATTGTAGCCAATTAGCTCCCTATGTAGCTACTATTTTTTATCATAGATGTGAAAAGTATTGCACATGTTGACCAAAAGTTTGTTTGTTTATCTGTTTTAAAATTATTTTGAATTTTTTTAACTTGAAATTAATTTTTTAAGTGATTTTATATTATCTTGATGTATTAATATTAAAAATAATTTTTTTAAAAAAATATATTATTTCAAAGCATTTTAAAACGAAAAGCAATCATAACTACAACACTAAACCGGTTTTGATTACTTCTTTATCAGATTTATTTGTTTTTGCATTTTAAAAGTGTTTTTAAAAATCTATCAGATTTATTTGTTTTTGTATTTTAAAAATATTTTTAAAAAAATTAAAAAATTTATTTTTTTATTTTAAATTAATATTTTTTGATATTTTCGTATTATTTTAACGTACTAATATCAAAAATAATTTTTTAAAAATAAAAAAATATTATTTTAATATATTTAAAAAAATATATTTTAAAAAACAACCACATGTTTTCAAACGTCCAAATGTTTCATAAGCTGTACGCTCCTAACTTCCTTCAATGCATTTACAGAAACATGTCCAGTTGCATTTCCCTTTTTTTTTTTTTTCACCTGAAGAAGAAGAAGAGGCAATCGGGTGTAGCCGAACTAATGATACCTTTGAGTCGGGGAGGTTTCCACCATCTTTGCTCCACGATCATAGACTTCCAGTTGCATTTCCTTTTCTTTCTTTTTTTCTCCTGAAGAAGAAGGAGAGGCAATCGGGTGTAGCCGAACTAATGCTACAGTATCGTACCTTCCACGTTTCCTAAAAGATCCCTCTCAGAAATACTTCCATTATAAATAATAACTTCAAATTATGAGTGGCCTTCACTCTTTATGAACCTGCTCTACGGTTTCCAGGGCCGGCATGTGCTTTTCTACCACATTGTGGCGAAAACAATGTATGTATGTGAACCGTACACTTGTGGCATATACTGCTAGATGCCTCAATTATTGTTGAAAGTAACTGAGAGTCTCTTGTCAATTTTGCTGTGGGAGTTTCTGCTTCCCTGCACTCTCCCATGTGGCCCGGCTGCTTCAACAATATTTGTCTTTGCTTTCTTCAGGTGCGGAGGAAGGAGACAAGTCCCTCCCACCACTAGGCCAGAACCTTACTTGCACTCTCCCATGTGACCCGGCTACTTCAACAATATTTGTCTTTGCTTTCTTCGTACAATGTAAGGTAGAAAAACACTTCCAAACTAAATTAGGTTTAAAATAATAAAAACAATATTCTAATATTGTTTTTCACTCTTTATCATGTATATTAGTAAAAAACACCCAAAATAAATAATTATTAATAAATCCTTACTGAATAAAAGCTTAATGTCTCATAAAATAAATATCAATTTTGATGAATTTATTATTCTTTTATGTTATTGAATTCTTGTAAAATAAATAATATAGAGGCTGCCGCATAAATTTTCAATAGTATTAATGACTCCTACATAGAATCCATAACTCTTTAAATAAATAATATTTTTTTTTGTTTTCACATTTTATTAATAGATTCTAAATTCAATTGTAAAAATATCATTTTATTTTATCCAGATATATTAGGAAGCCTGTTTTATATCATTGAAAAGTTATAAATATCTAGTCTTCAATTTAATTGGAGTTGCATCCAAAATCATATTGTAGTTTCAATATAATCCAAAAGATAGACAAAGTTTTATTTGGTAAATTTAAATATTTTTACCATAAGTCTCTTTATGCATAATTCATTGAACTTTTCTTCCATCCATTTTATTTTAAATTTTATAAAAAGATAGACAAAAAAGTTTTATTTGGTAGATTTAAATTTTTTTACCTTAAGTCTCTTTATGCATAATTCATTAAACTTTTTTTCCATCCATTTTATTTTAAATTTTATAATAGATCAAATAGACATTTTTAATAAATTATTTAATATTGTAGTTAAAATCATATCTTCTTGTCTCTCTTCAAAATAACTCAACCTTTGATGTTGTGATTTTAAAAATAAAAAAAAATCTAAAAAATCTAAAAACACTTTTAAAAAATATTTAAAAATACGAATTATCATACGCCCAAACTGGAGTCAACCCACTGCTTATCAAACCGCATAGCCAAACATCCGGATCTCATGCTTAAAAAAAATTTTCCCCTCAAAAGAGCAGCAAAAATATCTGATGAGAAAATGACAAAATAAATAAATAAAAACCCAACTCCCCCAGTGTTTTTTTTTTTTTCTTCTTTATAGGTGTATCCTTGTTGACGCGTTTATGGCTCTTCTTTAAAGGTGTATCCTTGTTGACGCGTTTATGGCTTTTTAGTGTGCGGATGCTGACTTGACCATTCAACCCACTCTGTCATCTTAAAAACTTAAATGTCATCTTAAAACGGTTCAAACTTCCCCGAGTTCTGAAGTTTCTTGATGTTGACAGATCCAAGATTGATAATCTTTGATACAGCTGGAATTGCTTGGAATTTGTTGAAAACAGCAATTATTTTCTGTTGCTTCTCTCTGCAAGTAATTCATCGATTGATGATTGTTCAAATGAAAGGCAACGAAACACATTGAACATAGCCAACTTCACATCTATTTCAACTTTTTTTTATTTCTTTTCCTTGTTTCTTAGATCTGTACATGGGCCAGAATGGAAGATGAAGTAGATAGAAGAGAAACAGCAGAAGCCATGGAAGATGGATATACACATACAGAACATCTAATTTTACACCGCAATACACAACTGAAATTCTTAGCATTAAGAGAGATTTCTAGCATCCTTACAAAACGAACCCATTTTATCTTCATTTTCATGACAAACTACACCAACCATTTGACAGATCAAACGAAACACTATTAAAGACCAAATTATTCAAGAATAAAACCAATCCCCACCAAAAAAAAAACTAGAAAGATTAGAACTTGAAAGAACACACTTGGTCTTCAAGATCAAGATCATGGCTTAACCTCCTTTGATGAGGAGTGGCAGTACTCTTCCCCGCTTGTAAAGAAGGTGAAGAAGATGGAGAAGAATGACAACAAGAAGAAGAATTAGCAACCATCAAAGCCAAACTTCCTTCACTCCAACACCTTTTTATTGGATACGACACATTTTTATACCTCGACATTGCATGTGAACAATTCTCTTTCGATTTGTGAAGCGCACAGCTGCAATTGCGATGGTATGGCCTACGATCAATACCCATCTCACCACCGGAGAGACAACTCTCATGGACATAACGGAAGAACCCATCGGCAGCTCCTGCGGCCATGTGTTCCTCACACCGCCACCTTGTACCTGCGAGTTATATTTTTTTTCCTGTTTGTTTTAGGCCCAAGGGATACAGCAGTAGCAATTTGCATAACAGAGGTGCTTGTGCAGTTATTATAAGAAGAGAAGAGAGTAGTAATGGTGGCACGGCAGTGTGTTTGGTGTTTGTTGGATAGCGATACGGGCTGCAATAGCGTGGAATAGCCGTGTCAAGACATCGCTTGTCTGTTTTTCGGTGTAAAAACGTTTTTTTTTTTAAAAAAATCATTTTAATATGCTCTATTAAAAATTTTAAATCATTTTAATATGCTCTATTAAAAATAAATTTTAAAAAATAAAAAATATATATTATTTTAATATATTTTCAAAAACAATACTTAAAAAAAAATACTACAATATCAAATAAATTCTAAATATAAATCACAAACCTAAGCGCAAGTGTTGCTGTGTTGGGAAATTGTAATTTATTTAGTCAGTGTTTGGTTTCTATACATGAAAGAAATAGTTACTAAAAATAAAAAAGATAAAAAAAAATAAAAATTGAGTTTAGTAACATTATAAAAGATGAAATGAACATCTTTGTATCATGTTTAATTATGATAAATAATACATAATAAAATATAAAAAAATTATTTTACCTTAAATATTTTTATATTTATAAAATAATTAGGTATTTTTTCACTTTAATTTATATTAAGCAGTAAAATTAATAATATTAGTTATAAAATCGGAATTAAATTCTCGTCGATTCCATAGAAGCAAATCATTTCATTCGAATCAGTGCGTTCACTGAAGATCTCTTTCTGCAATAGCATATATCCATGCCAGACAAGGCATCCTTTTTCCTCGGTTTTTATCGATAAGTTCTATGGGCATTAACTAGGAGCAGTAGAAAGGAATCATCTAAATGGACGGTGAGAATCGATTGGATTTTTTAGGAAGAACTTCCTAGGGAACTCCGCTGATCTCCCATGCCTCCTTTTTATCTCCGTCTTCAAAATCAATAGTGTTTTCAGTTTTTCTCTCTGTATCAAAATAGTAACTAATGAGATGAGTGGGGAGTTTGGTTATTTATATTATTTTATATATGGAAACATGCTTTTAATTTATTATTTTCATGTTAAAATACATTTCATAATAATTTTAATTAAACATATTTAACCATGACAAAAAATATTTTTTTAAAATCATAACGGTAAAAGCCTATCACAATGTTAAACACACACTTAGATCCTCTTTTTTAAGTTGAAAAATATATTTTTTTAAATGGCTTTCATGGAAAGTAGATTCTTGAAATATAGATTAATTATTTTTTTATGTTTGACAATATATAGAAAATGAGTTTGAAAATAGTTTATAATATTTGGCTATGCGTAGAAAATAAATTGGAAACTAACTTATTAATATTTTTTTTTCAAGTTTATTGAAAAATGAGATCCAAATATGACAGATGAAAAACCAAAGAAAGATGAAATTAAAAAAAAAATCTAATTTCATAAACTATTTTAGATAAAAACAAATGGTAATCAAAAGAATATAGACTAGATTTGACAGATAAAAAAGTTGAAAAATGATGAAATTAAAAAAATTATTTCAAAAATTATATCAAGTAACATAAATAATAAAATAAAAATAAAAAAAGTGTTTAGTAATTTCACCTTGATTTTTATTTTATTTTTTGAAATTTTCAAAAAATGTTTTCTAGGAAAAATAAAAGGGAAACATTTTTTTTAGACTAATTTTTTATTTAACTAAAACATATTTTCCTCTTGACCGGTTTTTCTTAAAGTTACTTGATATGATAAATAGTCTGGATAGAAGTTAGGGTTCTCAAGCTCTAAAATTATAGACTTAAGCAGTAAAGAAATTTAGAAAAAACTCTTTAGTGTTTTATTAAAAGTCTGAATAACATTTTTAATCTTATAAAATAAACTAGACATCCTTATTTATACTAGTTCTACATCTGAAATACTTTGAAGGAAATGATTTCTAGTTAAAATTAAAATCCTTTATAAGAAAGGATTCTTAATTGAAACTTACCTAACTAATTGAATCTATCTAGCATTAAGACTCCTAAATAGTAAAATACTAATTAAATTAAAGGTTCTAAACTAAATAAAAAAAAAAGAATCCAAATACTACAAGATAAATAAAGATAAACATGTACAATAACTTTCAAGTTTTATTTGAAGGCTTTTTTTATCTTTGATTATTATAAAATTTTAATCCAATAAGAAATAAAACCTTCAACATATTTTCTTAAAATTTTTGTTCAATCTAACAATTTCATTAAAAATTATGCTTGATTTACTAAATTGTATATTAAACTTTTCTTAGTTTCTCGCACCTAAAAATTTTAATTATTAATGAAATAATATAATAAAAATTATCATGCAAAGAATATTAAAGAGATTTCCTTATCAATCCACTCTACTTTTGAAAAACATGCCTTGAAGTTGACTATAAAAAATTAAACTCAACCACTCCAAGTGAATAAATATTTTGAATATAATATTGTGATTTTATGCACGAGATAACTTGCTCCAAATATCCTATATTTAATTTCAGGTGTTCATGTGGAATTTTTAAATCTAAACAAAACTTCTCAAGATCTAAAAAATTAATCTCGCATAAAACCGTCTTTTAAGATAATGAAAACTTTAATTAACATGTTTTGTCATCTCAAGCAATAATATCTTAACCATTAGCTAATTTAATAATTTCATGATATTTATCCAATATAGATAAACTTGGTTTGGTTGACACATCCATACTCAAGTCCTTTTGCTATTAATTTTAGCTTCTTAAGCAATTTTAACAACTTATTCTTCCTTTTCATTTGTCGAGTTAATTTTAACATATTTACTAATCTCAAGTTGTCCTCTGAGTTTTACCTATATTTCATGTTTTTTAAACTTTTTAGCATGTTTAATGATTTCAAGTTGCTTCTTCCAGGTTTATAATAATCATGAAATTTCAATCCCATAAAAAAGAGCGCTTTTAAAATTTTATATTAAAATTACAACTTGATCCAATAATCACATTAAAAAATTTACTTGCTTTACCAAACTATAACTTGAATTCTTTTTAGTTTCTTATACAATCTAAAAACTTTAATTATTAATAAAATAATACAAAAAATATTATCATATAAAAAATATTAAATTTTTTTTTACATGTTATTACCAAACATTAAAATATAAAAAAGTATTTTTCTGAAAACAAACAAGGTATTGGTCTAGTCCATCCTTAACGAGTTAATATGCATTAAGATTAACGATGTGCTGAATCATTGGTTAATCTTGTGCACTAGCTTTCCACTGGTATTTCTTATTTTCAAGGATGTCTTCTAAGTTGATTTCAGCAGACATGGCATGACATTGATGGGGTTGCCACCCCTTGAATAATTCGTATGCAATCCAAGGACATTGCCCTCCTTTCAATAAAAATTATAGCATTTACTGAAAATAAAAATGAATTATACAGAATCAAATACAGCCCTCCTCCATTTCCCGTCCAAGATTGGAGCCTTACGAGAGCAGTCATGAAAGCTTACAGCACATCTCCCAGCAAGAAAGCTGTCAATTTCATGGTGAACTGTTCTTGCATCTTTAAAGAAGTTTGATACATCTTGCTATCACTTTTTACCCCCAACTTTAGGTGCCGACAAGGTATTTCAGGCCTGCGATAAGGAATTTTCAAAGCCATCGATATTTTTTAGCTGAATAAATAGCATTTATTGAGATCGCATCATTCAAGTGCTCCTCATTTACCAGGTACCTTCTACAAAGAAAAGGAAAATTCAATGCCCACTTTGTTTTCTCAAATATTCTATCAATTATTAAATTAATTAATACAACAATATATATATATATATAATTCTAAGAATAAAATCTGTACTCATATGCATGCGCTTAGACTAGCATGGAGAAAATGTTAGTTTAATATATTTTCTAAATAATTGATTGGTTATATATGATATTATTATATTCATGTAAATATATATTTATTATTAATAAATATAGTACTCCTATAATATTTGTAATTGTTATAAGACATGTATAATGAATTGACGGGTATGATAATTCTATATTGAGAGATCATATATGTTTATAAAAAAACTCACGTGAAGTTTGTGTAAATGATCTTTAGAATGAGAATCAATAAGTTATATTATATAAAGAATGTTATATTTAAATCTTTTTACATGTTATCTTAATCGAAGTAACGAAATGGCAGACATTATATATAACATGAACTATATGAAG